TGACGATGGTGGTGGTCATGATGACGACGACGACGACGATGATGATCACGATTGTTACGGTGATGACGATCATGACGATGATAATGATGACGCTGGTGAAGATGGCGATAGTGAAGGTGATGACGATGAGGACCTGAAGCTGCTGATGATGATGGTGAAACTGACGATGACGACGCTGATCATGATGATGAGGAGGATGAGACCGGAGATGAGATCACGCGGCGGGCCGAAGCGAGAGGAGAGAGGAGAAGTGGCAGGAGGGGGAGAAGAAGTAAGGACGCGGGGCGATGCGTAATCAAAAAGCGAACCCAACACCACAGGATGGATGGAACAAAAACAAGCTGTCTTCGAATTGTGATGTGTGAGTTTGTCCAGCACGCGATTGCGCGATCAAGCCTCGGGGGCATGTCGCTCACCCTGCGTGCCATCTAGATCTTGGCCAGTGGTTCAGGTCCAGCCTCGTGTGCGGGAAGAACCGCGTTGCTTTGAAAAACCGTGCCGCAATGGCGGTGGATGCGTGAATCGACCCAGCCGGCGTCAGTTCTCGTTCTCTCTTTCCGATGCTGCTCTTTCACGGCACCATCGAGCTTCCACTATCCCCCCCTCCCCTCATCTTGCTCCCCCATCTGCTCAACCTCCTTCTCATTTCGTCACACGCACACTTCACTCGCATCTGCAGAGCAGCACCAAAGAGCTAAGCTCGGCTCTGAAAGTGTGGTACATAGGTTTGTCCAGCACGCGATTGCGCGATCAAGCCTCGGGGACATGTCGCTCACCCTGCGTGCCATCTAGATCTTGGCCAGTGGTTCAGGTCCAACCTCGTGTGCGGGAGGAATCGCGTTGCTTTGGAAAGCCAGGCCGCAACGACGGTGGATGCGTGAATCGACCCAGCCGGCGTCAGTTCTCGTTCTCTCTTTCCGATGCTGCTCTTTCACGGCACCATCGAGCTTCCACTATCCCCCCCTCCCCTCATCCTGCTCCCCCATCTGCTCAACCTCCTTCTCATTTCATCACACGCACACTTCACTCGCATCTGCACGATATCACCAAAAGAGCCAAGCTCGGCTCTGAAAGTGTGGTACATAGGTTCGTCCAGCACGCGATTGCGCGATCAAGCCTCGGGGGCATGTCGCTCACCCTGCGTGCCATCTAGATCTTGGCCAGTGGTTCAGGTCCAACCTCGTGTACGGGAGGAACCGCGTTGCTTTGAAAGGCCAGGCCGCAATGGCGGTGGATGCGTGAATCGACCCAGCCGGCGTCAGTTCTCGTTCTCTCTTTCCGATGCTGCTCTTTCACGGCACCATCGAGCTTCCACTATCCCCCCCTCCCCTCATCTTGCTCCCCCATCTGCTCAACCTCCTTCTCATTTCGTCACACGCACACGTCACTCGCATCTGCACGGTATCACTAAAAGAGCCAAGCTCGGCTCTGAAAGTGTGGTACATAGGTTCGCCCAGCACGCGATTGCGCGATCAAGCCTCGGGGGCATGTCGCTCACCCTGCGTGCCATCTAGATAGTGGCCAGTGATTCAGGTCCAACCTCGTGTGCGGGAGGAACCGCGTTGCTTTGAAAGGCCAGGCCGCAACAGCGGTGGATGCGTGAATCGACCCAGCCGGCATCAGGTCATGCCATGCTGCTTCTTGGCCAGATCATCCACTGCGCCCCTCCCGCCCTTCCATCTGCACAGCTTCTCTCCGCCACTACTGTCTACCCAATGTGTCATCAACCACGCACGTCGCTCGCATCTGCACGCATCACCACAACGGATCAAGCTCTACCCTCAAGTTGCTGCGTGTGCATTTCATCAGCCCTATGGGCCGAGGCTCCTGAGGGATTTGTGATTCTAGCCCCCTTTCTGAGGGGGAACCTCGACCTGGAATCGGCGATACATCGCCGATAGGTAAACGACAGGCCCCCGATAACGAAACCGCACGGTTCTGGGCGGGGTGGGCTATCGGGCTCCCCTCGGCGATCAGTGGGCGATTGGGGGCCGATGCTTTCCTCCCTTGATCCCTGCCCCTGACTTCTTCCCTTTCGGCGAGGGCTCCCCTGGACGTCTTCGAGGGGGGCCGCGAGGGGCAGAGGGCCCACTTGCGCTCGAGATGGCTCCGGGATGGCGACGGCCATCGCGCTACCAGACGGAACGAATAGCTTCCCCGACCTGGATCTGGGAACGCCCCGAAAACCCAAGCCCCTCCAGGGCCCAAAATGGTCCCTACTTCAGCGGCCGGACTGAACAGAACCGCCACGGTGGCGTCCAGCATGGCGCAGCAGAGCCCAGGCTGGACCAGCATGACGTCCAACATGCTTCCTGGAAGCCATCAGATGCCGCCGATACGGCCTGGATGGGCTACGAAGTCTCCCAAGCATGCCCCCGAGAGGCCCTCAACGCGTGTCACATTGCGGGCCTCCGCTTACAACAGGCTTCGGCGACCTCAAGGGGGCAGTGACATCAAAGCCGAACACCAGGCAACACGCACGCCTGCCCCCAGTTTCTGCGGCAACGCACGCAAGCCTCCCATAGCATCTTGCTGGCCCTTGCGAATCGACGCTAACCAACGCTAATCGACGCGAGCCGACGCGAATCGACACGAACCGACAGTAAATCGAAACCGATCGACGCTACATCGGCGCTTTCTCATCGACCACCAAGAGCTAACGCACGCGAGCGAGTACACCCTAAAGACGGAATCGCGAGGGCATACCAGGCCCCCATGACCTGCTACCGAACGCCAGCCCCCAGCCCCCCAGCCCCGCCGAGTCCACCAGCGAGAGGCCACGGGTCATGCAGAACCGCACCACGCTCAGGTCAACCGCCACCTCGTGGCTCCCCCTCCCCCCACTCTTGCCCCCAGCTGTTCCTGCGGCGGCTGCTCCTCGTGTTCCGCCCCCTCCGCCAACTCAGGAGGCATCCACTCTTGGAAATTCCGAGGGGTACTTCTCCCAGGCCCAAGTACGGCACCCGTGACCGCCGACAAGGTAGAGCGGGACCAGGGCGGTTGCACACAGAACCCGCCTCCGCACCGTGGGCAGTAATCGGAGTGTTGTCAGGTCCTTCCGAGGAAACTCCCGGGCGCCCCTGGGCGCTCTCGGGCTACACCTGGAATCCCAGCGTGGCTTTTCACGAAGCCGGGAACCATTGAAGACTCATGGGGTATTGCAGGTGTTCGGCCCCTCAGGCGTAAGAAGGAACCCAAGACGCCCCCAAGAGCCGCCAAGAGGCCCCCAAGACGCCCAAAGGTCCCCAAGACGCATCCCAAGAGATTCGGAGCGGAATCCAAGAGGCCTCTAGCCCACTGAAGTTCCCCGAGGTATCCCGACGATGCCACGCTCCCCCGATAAAGGCAATTCCCCTCAGCATCCTCCTTGGATGGGCTGGTGGGTTTTTTTGTTCGCGAGCGCGCAGGAGTGCCAGGCGCCGTCAAGAAATGCGGCTAACAAGCAGCGGCCTAAATTCCGCGGCACGGGGAGGGAACGACAGCAAGCGGAACACGAGGCGGGGAAGAAGCGAAGAAAGAGCACACAGGAGCGAGCTACGCTGCGGCTCCGAAGAAGCGGTGGACCAGGAAGAACCACTGGTCAGGTGCAGCTTCAAAACAGCCAAATTCGCGAAGTCCACGTACTCGAAGACGGCCGTGACGCAACCGATGACGACGACGAACAGCGACATGCAGGCGCTCAACGGAGTAGGCTCCCGATCGCCAAACGCCGACAAGGGTCGGAGCGAGGGCCGTGGAAGCGACGGTAGCGCCACCACGGGCGGGGGGACAGAGGGAAGGCAGCGACAGGGCGGCCCAGAGGCAGCAGAAAAGCTGGTGGAGGATACGCGAAGAGTTAAGAAGTTCTAAGCCTCCACAGGACCCCTGCCAAAACCTCTGGCCCAGTTCTTTCACTAGACAGATGGGGGCCTCTAGAACCCGTCATTGATCGAGGATATGTCGGGGGAGCGCACTTTCCTTAAGCGAGCACGCGCGGGATGCACTTCCAAAGACCAGGCAACCAAAAGGGCCAAAGAGGGCCCAAGGGACTTCCAGAACGGCCCCGAGAGACCAGGAGGAGGAGGGCCTCGAGAGTCTAAGACAGCCGAAGATGGTCTAAGGATGCCCCCAAAGATGGCCCAGGCCCCAAGACGACCCTGAGGGCAAAAAACAAATGAAAGCACCTTGAGCTTTCCATGTGCTTGCCTGTCCCCCAAGATCCCCTCAAGACGACCCATGAAGCCTCCTCATCCGCCCCTCCTTTAACGTCCCCCCCAACCGGGCCTGCGACTCCTTGGGCGCGAACGCGGAGATCCAGCCATCTGGCTCGACGATGATCGTGATGAGGCTGGAGCCTTAGGCGGAACAAGGAGAACGTAATCCTTCTTCATCCCTCCTCGCTCCTCCAAGTTGTTCCGTAGCCCTCTTCCTCCGCATAACAATCCACCATCCATAAGCCATCATCCCTACCGAGCATCACCGTCATCATCACCTACCGTCACCATCAGCAGCAGCACACTCATCACCACCATCACCATCATCAGCAGCATCATAATCGTGATCGTCGCCACCACCACCACCACCATCATCATATTCATCAGCAGCAGCAGCAGTATCAGCATCATCGTCATCAGCATCAGCATCAGCATCAGCATCAGCATCAGCATCAGCATCAGCATCATCAGCATCATCATCATCATCATCATCGTCATCATCATCATCATCATCATCATCATCATCATCATCATCATCATCATCATGAATCATCATCATCATCATCATCATCATCATCATCATCATCATCAGCATCATCATCATCATCATCCTCATCATCCTCATCATCCTCATCATCATTATCATCATCATAATCATCATCATCCGTAGCCATTTTGGCTCAAGCCATTTTGGCTCAAGTTCCAAACGCGTCCCTGGCGCTTGGAGCTTGGATGCAGCCGAGGGGGCGGCTCAAAGCCCCCGCGCTTTCTTCAGCGTCAGTCACTTCAGGCGCCCAGCGGCGCCAGGATCCTGCCCTTCGCTCGGAGTCTGGGCCATGGGTGGCAGCGGACGTCGCTTGCAGCATGGGTTCCAGAAGTGCTCCAAGTGCCAGTACACGTGGACGTGGCGCACACGTTCGGCCTGCTTCAACTGCGGCCACTGCCTCTCGCCCGCGTCCTCGCCCGCCAGGTCGCCTGATGGTGCTTGGTCCGACCGGGCAGCGAGCGCCGACGCAGCCGCTGGCCGTGCTCGGCCTGCCTCTCGGCCACCGTGGCAGGAGGCCAGGCTGCGGCCCGACACGCGGCAGGTGCGGGAGGAGACGCTGCTCGAGACCATCAAGCGCCGCAAGGAGGAGCTCCCCCTGGAGGCGTCCCAGGCCTTGGCGGGCCTCGAGGCGGCGCTCCAGCAGCCCACGGCCACGGCGCCCAAGCCCGAGCTGCCCGACGAGGCCGTCCAGCGGGCATGGGGAGCGGCGCGTCGTGCGACCAAGGCGCTCAACGAGGCCCTCGACGCCACCGAGGGGACCCGCGCCTGGCTCGCCAAGTGCCAGGCCAAGGAGGACGAGCTTGCGGCGGAGTACGCGCTCGCCCTCGAGGAGCAGGCGAGGGCCATCGCACACGCCAAGGGCTGCCTCAAAGGCGAGCAGGCCACTCCAGCATCGGTCTCGGTCAACCTATCCTCCGTCCTCGAGGGGAGGGAGGGCCTCAACTTCGAGCTCGGGGTCGCCTTCGACCTCGACGGCATCTCGCTCACGGAGCAGGAGCAGGCCGACTGGGAGAAAACGCTGGAGCAGTTCAAGCAGGACTTCACAAAGCAGGTGGAGGCGATGTTCAAGCCCGCGGCTGAGGAGCTCGAGAAGCGGAGAGAGGGCCTCAAGAAGATGCAGGAGGAGTTCCGCGCCAAGACCAAGAAGCGGCGGATGGACTCTGAAGCTGCTCGGCCTGCTGGTGAACCTGACCCTCCTGGCGACGAACAGCGAGGCGCTGGGGGCGACGCAGCAGGACATACCAGCGACGCGGCTCCTGGGACGCCCAGCCAGCCTGAGGCCGCCCCAGCCCCCAGACAGCCCCAGCTGTCGGCAGAGCGGCTCGCAGAGCTCAAGAAGGCCGCGAGGGAGGTGCGCGGTCGCAAGCCAGGAGGCGACGCCAAGGAGAGCGCGCCCACAGCGTCTCCCTAGCAGCGGCGGGCGCCGTGGCGGTCGAAGCGCCTTGCAGCCGTTCACGTTCGACTCCGCCAACGGCTCAGGCTGGGGACCCCTCACGACCATATGGGGCAGGCCTCAGGAGAGGGCTCAGGAGCTGGCCAGGGAGGCCCATGCGGGTCAGTGCTGGTTGGCCCAGGAGACCCACCTGCACGAGGAGGAGGCAACCCGCGAGGAGCAGTGGCTGCGCAGGCAGGGCCTGCGGGATGCCCTCACGCCTGGCACCAGCCACCCAGGAAGCCTGGACACGCAGCAGAGGAGGGCCGCCCCGGGCGGCACAGGAGGTGAGGTCTGGGCGGCGCGAGGCGCCGCTCAGCCCTTGCGAGGCGCCGCCGCTGGGACCAGATCTAAGCGCGTCCACCCTGGGCGGCGCACCTGCCTCCACTTCGAGGGGCTCAAGCGAGGAGGAGGGCTGGCGGCCAGCGTCTACCTCGACATCGACCGCCAGGGGCCTGCGTCATGGGAGGTGCTGCGCACGCTGGGGCACGCGCTGAGAGCCTCGGGCAGGTCCTTCGTGGTCGGGGGGGACGTCAACGTGGAGCCCGCCCCCTCCGCGGACGCGGCGCGTTTCTGGCTGGAGGCGGTGAGAGGCCAGGTCGCATGCAACGAAGAAGGCCTCGGCACCTGCCACGTCGCGGCCGACGCGCCGCCGTCCGAGCTCGACTACTTCATCGTGGCCATCATGTTTGACGACTGCTCCCTGCGCCACACTGGCTCGGAAGCGCAGGTGGGCATCATGCTAGGCAAGGCGGCGTGCGCCGTCATCAGGGGCCTGGAGCGGGGCATAGGCGCGGTGGTCTCCAGGGACAAGAGCGAGATCCTGGGGACCACCGAGAGGTTGCACCGCCTCAGCGAGTACCACATGGACGAGGGCTCCTTCGCGCATGCCAAGGAGACCAGGAACTTGGGAGTGTGCTACGCCATGGGCGCCAGAGCTGGGGAGGCGGCTGCTGGCCGACGCCAAGCCGCCGCGGCCCAG